GGTCTCGGCGGTGACCACGGTGACCGCGACCGGCACCTCTTGGATGTTCTCTTCCCGCTTGCGGGCGGTGACGACGATTTCGTCGTCCACCTTGCCGCTGGGCTCTTCGGCGGCAGCGGTCTGCTCGTCTTGGAGGTTTTCATTCTCGGCCCGGGTTTCTTCCGGGCTCAGGCCCTCGGCGGGGGTCAAGGTCGGGAGCAAGGCGAGACATGCTCCAAGGCCGACGAGGATTAGCTTGCGCATCATGATTGCCTCCAAAGCTTCTGGGTGGCCGCCGACTAGGTGCCGTCAGCCTGGGTCTGGGGTGTAAGTTTGAGGTCGGTCTTAAGGCCGGTAGGCTGCGGGCTCGGGCTGTTTCTAGGCAGCAGCCCGTAGCGCAGCAGACGGATAAATTCCGTGGTGGCTTGGCGGGAGTCCATGCCGAAATGCATGGGAGCTCCGAAGCACTTTTCGACGGTGAAGTAATAAAAAAACCAGCGGGTGGCGAAGATCACACCCACCAATGGATCCACGTTGTCCCCGAGCTCACCGGTCGCTTGACGCTCCGCTAGCTTGGCGCCGTAGAGATCTTGGAATCGCGACGCCATGCCCTCGTAAAAGGCACGGATGTGCTCGCCTCGGAATTCGACGACATCGACGTAGATCAAGAGGATGTAGGCAGAGTTGTCCTCCACCGCTTTCTCGATCTCGTCGACCATGTCCTCGAGGTCCTCGGGGAAGCCGGCGCGGGCGAAGTGCCGCTGCAGGGGATGGTCGGGATCCAGGAGGCGATCCCAATACTCCTGCAACAATCGCTTGAACATCGATTCCTTGTTGGGGAAGTGGTGGTAGAGATTGCCCATCGACAACCCGGACCGATCGGCGATCTGCCGCATGGTGGTCGCCCCGAATCCATGGCTCGAAAACAGCTCAAGGGCTGCGTCCAACGCTTGACGGTTGGAAGCCTTCGATCGTTCCTGTTGGCGTCTGGGTGACATCTCTTCTCCAAATTCGAAAAGTCTCGGACGGTGGCCGGCGGAG